GGGGGGGGGGGGGGGGGAAGGGTTTGGGGTTTTTTTCTTAAGTTGATTTGTTAGGTATTATTTTGTTTGTTTGGTTTTGTTTGTCTGGTTTTGTTTGGTTGGTTTTGTTCGTTTGGTTTTGTTTTGTTCGTTCGGTTTGGTTTGGTTTTGCTTGACTTGAGATTGCGTTTGATTTGAATAAAAAGAATTGAAATTGCCCAATAATAAAGTTAGATTAGCCTACGACTGCTTAATTATAACATTTACACCAGCACAGCATTAATCAAATCAGCATCTTAACTTCTTTTACATGTTACAGTTGAGCAACTTACGTTTTGAATGTATTATTTGCCATATTAATTGTCGTATCTGGACTCTTATCAAGTATTGACATAGCGCAGGATGTATGACCCTACACGGCAAATAAAAACATCAGAAATGCAATCTAATCTTTTAGCAAACTCGTACCCAGAGCCGGCGTTTCTTCTGGCCTGCGTCGAAGAACAAATGCTCTGTCATAATCAATTTCTGAGCGCATGCGCAATTTATCGGAAGTGAAATATAATCAATGAAAATCATGCTTTCAAATATGGTTACTTCCGATTAAAAAAAAACAACAAAAAAAAAGAAATCGGGATCATATTTTTTTAGCAAATCTTTGAACGCATGCGCTCTTATACCGGAAGTCCAAAAATTCTGATCTCACAAAAATGGATTATGCCAGAGCCCTCGTTCTTCGCCGCACGTCAAAAGAAACGCAGGCTCTGGGTACGAGATTGAACTATTAGTTATTTTTATCGTAAGCAAGCACAAGTAAATTTGCAAAATAATCACATAAATTAAGAAAATAACAAATAAATGGTCGAGTTAAGAAAAGCTGTCCAAGAATTTTCAGTGTCTGTCGTGTATAGGAAGCACATGAAGAAAATACCACCCTTTCCAGTAGACCGAGGCAGTTTTAATCTCTGTATAGACTTCGTAGCGTCTGTTATGTTAACCGCAAAAAGCATTTCAAATCGTCCACGTGATGCCAACGTTGTACCACGTGGATAATGTTATTACACCACGTGATAAAAACTTGACTGCACTTCGGTCACGTGGTGTAAAGAAGTGTCCAAGTGGTAGTAGTGAATAGTAGATGTAGAAGGGAAAAGCGTGCCAGGTCATTATATTGCGTATTACTATACCTGTATACAAGCTAGATGAAGTGCTGTGTTTTTATCTCGGTCTATTAACGTTGTATCTGCGGCTCCTTCTCCTACCAATAATTCTAGGGGGAAAGGAATCATGACAGTTAGACATTATTAGCAGAGAGATTATTATTAACTTGAATGAAAGGAAGGAAGGAAGGAAGGAAG